GTCTCCTCTAATTTGACATTCTATGGTTTCAAATAATTCCAAGTTTCTGGATGGATCCATAAAAGAAATAGAAATTAACTGAATAAACAGGAAATTACATTGCTACAACTAAAAATAAATCTAAGAGGTAAGCTTTCTGACATTTTTGCCAGAGATCTAAAATTAAGTCAGAGGAACTGCCCTTATTCTGTGTATCCAACTTCTAGATTTGTCACCAAACCTAATCATTCTGCCACATTGGCAGAAATGTGATCCTGAATATATATTACTTCTAATTAGAGAAATATACTGAGATTGAGATACACTGGATGTGTAAAATAAAAGATTAAATGATAATATAACACTCAGACTTTTTCTTAGTGTAAGTTGAGACTTAGACTTTTCTATGAGAATAAGAAAAATAACCTAGGAAAGTAATCAGAGGTTATATAAAAGGACAGTTATTCATTCAAAGGAAGAAGGACAGAGTACTTAAGCAAAAAGCGAATAACAATTTGGTGTGGCTTCAAAAAACTATTACGTATCATATGGGGAAGAATCTTAGACTAAGACTGAGAGAAATTTATATGGAATTCAAAAATCAAAGCAATTAAAAAATTAAAGAATAATGGATGGAATGAAGTAGGAAAAAAAATCCAAAGTTCAAGTTTCTTAACATATTTGAATGAAGAAAATACCATCTGTTCCACAATCAGTATGATGTAAGTATACTTTGTTATGTAATATGTCAATTTTATTATGTAATAATATACTTTACTAAGTATTTTCTGTAATTATTATGTAATTATTATGTAATATGTTAAACAGTCTTACTAAATTTGTTTACATATATATTTTATAAATTAAAACGTAATTACTGCTCTGCCAAAAATGTTTTAATGATAGTTATAGATTTACCATAAGTATATAAATGAATGTTTTTAATGTACTTCAGTTACAATTAAACTTTTTCATATTTTACTTATGGCAGCACAGATCTCGAATTATCACTAACCCCTGCTCCCTACCACATCTTAGTCCTTTTCTGTTCATCCTTGCCCAACCCTATGTTCTTAGCAAACATTTATTAAACTCCAAAGAGGTATACATCACTGAGGTTGACCCTGTCTTAGAACCTTGATTTGGTCATTAGGACTATCCTCATTTTAGAAATGAGAAAGGTAAGACTCAGGATGCTTAAGAGTCTTATTATGGAGCGTAAAGCTGCAAGTAGAACAACAGAACAACAAGAACAAGTAGAACAACAGAACAAACAAGAACAACAGAGAGCCAATCAGTCTCTCTGATTCCAAAACCTGCTATTCTTTTTCCATTATTCCATATTTTCCTGACGAAATCTGGAATCTTGAAAAGTGCAAATTTTTAATTTTATGAAATATTTAAAGCATCAACAGAAATGGTACTTAAGATAAATACAAAACAAAGCAAAACAAAAACTGAAATTCTTTATTTGGTAAGGTTACAATTAAATTGTTATACACAAGATTGTCATGATCCAGACCCTTTCCTCCTAGACATGATGGGCTCTGAGGGAGCAGAGATCATCTAGAAAAAGCTAAAACAAAACTAGGTTTTTTTCACTGTTATAAAGTTGAGGCTCTACGAAGGAAAGCAATGTTGCATCTTTTGTTCTCAGAGAAGTGTATTTAATCCAAATACATCAGAAAAACATCTCTAGATGCCTATTTTTCTCTAGTTATATAACTTTTTTATAACTACAACCACAGCAAACAGCAACTCTATTTGTATTCGAACATCCCAGATTTTTTGTTGTTAAAAAATGGCATAATGCTTGTGAAGATCCCACATTGTCTAAGTTTTACAATACCAGAGGGGAATTTTGCTCCTACCAGGGCCATCAAAGACTATATAGGCAAGAAGGAAAATGGAGGACATTATTATGGATGTTGTAAAACAATTAACTAGATAAATGGATAGAACTGTGGAATAGATGATTGGCAGCTGTGTAAGAATATATATTATTCTTCCTTAAGATACCTATCAATTTCCAGTGTTGTCAGTGATGAAGGTAGGAAGGGATAAATAAAAGGAAATCTTAAAGTGTTTCTACTTGTCTGCACAGTGTGATGTCCTCTATTTTTATGTTAGACTGCAATAACATTAATATTTGTCCACCTAGATATGGTTATGCCTTTTTGTGCAATAGTAATCAGTTTGGAAGTTTATTATCTGGCTAGAGGAGCAGTGGGAGGGAGAAGTGAATATTAGAATATTTGTGCTAGAAAAAGTTTCTTCTGGTATAATACCTAATTTCAAGAGATGAGACCCTTTGGAATAGTTTGATAAAAGAAGATTAATTGGATAAAAAAAAGTTATGGTTCATATATACAATGGAATATTACTCAGCCACTGAAAAACAATGGAATCCTACCATTTGCAACTAAATGGATGGACCTAGAGGTTACTATGCTGAGTGAAATAAGTCAGATAGAGAAAGATAAGTACCATATGATTTCACTTATATGCAGAATCTAAGGAACAAAAAGAACAAACTAATCAAAAACAGACTCACAAGTATAGAAGACAATCTGGTGATGGCCAGAGGGGACAGGGGTTGGGGGATTTGGGTAAAGAGTTAAAGGAGTACAAATTAGTAGTTGATAGATGGTCACAGGGATGGGGAGCATGGCATAGGGAATGCAGTTAACATTAATGTAATGGCTAGGTGGAGAGCCAGAGGAAACAAAGAACAATTAGGGGGATCATTTTATAAACTATATAAATGTCTAACCAATGTACTGTATACTTGAAACTAATAAAATAAAATAAAGAAGAAGAGTAAATAAACTGCCTTGTAATAATTTAGAAGATTATCAGGAAAAATAGAATAATGCATCTTGTTATTGTAAATTGCTGCCTTTCATCCTAGACTTTCTCCTGCTTGTGACCCTCCCTATCTCTATACTGTGAAAGATCCGCTATATTAGGCACCTTGGTTTTTGGATATCTTCTTCATGGCCAGCATTAATATTGCAGCAATTAGTTTATCCAGAACTACATAGACCCCAAACTAACGACTAGAGAAAAGGCGACACACCAGAAAAGTACAGGTTATGTTAAATGTCTGTTTTTGACATATGAAAACGCAGACTACAGAGCTTACCATTGCTTAATCTTGGGGTAGTTGCAACCCCATGCTTAAAGGAGGAGCTCCATAAATTCTGATTTATTTATTTATTAAAGACATGAACACCTTTCATGCTCAAAGAAAGGGGGGTTAAATAAATAGATAGCCTGCCTTCATAGAAAACAAAACAAAGATTTAGACTGGAAAGGAATATATAGATGATCAATATTTTTATAGGTATTGAAACTGAGGCCAAAAATTTAAGAGAAAGTAAAAGGAGTACTACTATGAATTCAACAGCAAGTAAAGTGATTCGGCTCCAATTACATTTGAAAATTACTCTTAGATGGGTGGATATCACCATTCAGTTGTAAAGGCCTTCACTATAACCTAGAAATATCAAACAATTTTAGGAAGCCAATATTTTCTTATCTAGAACAAAGAAGATAATGACAAAATCTTTCTTATTAAATATGTGTGTGTGTGTGTGTGTGTGTGTGTGTGTGTGTGTGTGTGTACGTACACACACTGGATAGGGATAGATAGATAGATAGATAGATAGATAGATAGATAGATAGATAGATAAACATGATTTGTGGGATAAATGAATGCTAAATTGAAATAATGAAGCAGCACAGGGACCAGAAAAGTCACAGCCAATTTTTCAGATAAAAATCTGTTCAGAAAAAAGTATTTCAGGCAAAGTAACTAGGAGGTCCTTTTTCCACACCGGGAACCTGAAAAAGACCTCCTTTCAAAAGGAACTGAATAGGCTCAAAGCCTAGAAAGAAACCATCTCAGGTTCGTAAATTAGTCATTTTAACTTAAAACTAAAGAATTAGCCACAAAATAATACACCAAAGACTGTGCTTCAACAGAATTATATAGAAACACAATAGATGTTCAGCAAAGTTGAGAAGTATTTAAAGATTAAGCTGAAGGTTTCAAACACCATCTATCTGCATCCATTTTTTTTTACACTGCTGTTAACAACCTGATCTTCAAGTGGCTGAAAAGAACATAAGGTATAAAAGACCTATTTGAGAGAATCTGTACAAATCAGTTGGGGAAGGGGAGGGGAAAAGTTGGTTATCCTTCTGGATGCTGCTATAGACATAATATTACGAAGAACAAGGAATAAACACATTGATCATTTTCCCGAAAGGCTTGTTTTTAAATATATAAGTTATGCAAGTTATAAACCATATAACAGTGTTCTGTAACAGTGTGAATATCAAAAAATGTATATCATTATAAGAAATAAAAACAAAAACAATGCAACCTCTCTCTAATAGATCAATTATTACATCAAAATAACTTGGGTCCAAAATATTACATTGATACACAACACAATACCAGTAACAAAAGTGAATAGAGACAAATACAGGGTCCCTTTCATTTGACTATCTTGGCTAGTACTCAGAATTTCTGTTCTTTGATTTAGATGATACTGGAAAGTTGAAAAAAGTTTTATTAATATCTTCTTTCTCCCTTTTCAAAATTGACAGGATTGTCAGTGACATATGGCTTTCTTCTTAGGCACAAAACTGAACTGTGAAAATAGTAGGTCAGAAACAGTGAAAGAGAAAAAAAGGAACATTGGATAAAAGAAAATAGAATGATAAAGACTAGAGTTTTATGGTACCATGGAGATAATTTCATTCAACCAAAAACTGTAAATATGAGAATACTGAGGTTTGAAGAAGTCATGTAATTTATCCAATGTCTCACATTTATTAGGTATGGAGGCAGGATGAAAACAACTTACTCTTAACTCAATTCAAAGGCGATGTCTTGCTCAATTTTATCACTGATATTGAAAGTCGAAAACGTATTTAAGCTAATTTTCATCTCTACATTTCATTATTTTTTTCAGATGTGTGGTGCCCACTAGGCATTGCATGCAATGGAGATGCAAAATCAGACTACAGTGACTGAATTTACCCTGACTGCCTTCCCTATTCTCCAGAATCTTCAGATTTCTCTCTTCTTGATCCTTTTGTTTACTTACATGCTTACTCTAACAGGAAACATTGTCATCATTTCCCTAATATGTTCTGATAATCGCCTCCAAACCCCAATGTATTTCTTCCTCAGTAATTTGTCATTTTTGGACATTTTATACACAACCTCAGTTACCCCAAAGTTCTTAGCTTGTCTCCTAGAGGACAGGAAAACCATATCTTTTGCTGGCTGCATCACCCAAACATACTTCTTTTTTCTCCTGGGGACAGTGGAGTTTACCCTCCTGGCAGTGATGTCCTTTGACCGCTATGTGGCCATCTGTAACCCCCTGCGCTACACCGACATCATGAACAGCAGGGTCTGTCTCCTGCTTGTTTTGGGCTGCTGGATGGGGGCCTTCCTGTCAGTGCTCTGTCCAACTATTGTGGTGTCCAGATTGCCTTTCTGCTATAAAGAAATTCGTCATTTCTTCTGTGACATTGCCCCTTTACTGCAAGTGGCCTGTATTGACACTCATTTCATTAAGATGATAAACTTCCTCTTATCTTCCCTTGTTCTCCTGACCTCACTGGTGCTCACCACCATGTCCTATACCTATATCGTTTCTATCATCATGCGCATCCCCTCAGCCCAAGGACGTCAGAAGGCCTTTTCCACCTGTGCTTCTCACATCACTGTTGCCTCTATTGCCTATGGAAGCAACATTTTCATGTATGTGAGGCCTAACCAGAGCTATTCACTGGATTTTGACAAAGTGACAGCTGTTCTCACCACAGTGGTGACCCCTCTTCTGAACCCCTTCATTTATAGCCTAAGAAATGAAAAAGTAAAGGAAGTTTTGAGAGAAGCAGTCAACAAAATTCTGTCTTTATTGTACAGGAGAACTTGCAGCATTATTGCACAGGGAACTTGAATGTTTATTGGCTAAGAATGGCTATATTAAACCCTTGGATTCAATATGCAGAAAGGCATGCTTGAAGAACATAAAATCAAAGATATGTGGGAATATATGACAAGGCTTCAAGGCTTCATCCCTGACAGCAAAATACTATAGACAATAAGAAGAAGAACAAAAACAAAAACAAGGGTTTGTATAGCATACTTAAATATGTACATATATATATTTCATTTAATCCTTTTAACAACCTTGAGAAGCCGATATTATCTTAATAGATGAGAAAACAGATTCACAGAGGCTAAGTATCTTGCCACAAACTATACCACTAGTGAGCAACAGAAATTTAGAGTATATGAACTCCAGTCTACTTTAGCACCTCACTATATCATGAAGTATGGAATGGGAAGAAACAAGAGAGGAAACAGAAGTTAACCTGGAAGTTAGTCACTTTTTCTGAGACCAGAGCATTTGCGGCCCACCCTAACAGTCTGGCTGACTTGCCAATCAGAACAGACTGGGAAACGGTCAAAATAAAACTAAGAGATGATTGATTTGAAAAGATAATCAATTATTCAAAGGGTGCAACTGTGGCAAGTGGCCAAGGTTGTCATAATCTATAGAAGAATAAGTATCCTAGAATTTATTTGGTTGATGAATAATTAAAGCAGAAAATGAATCAAGCTAGCTTAAGTAAAATGGGTATTTATTATAATAATAATCAAGAGTGCCATACAGAATCCTAGAAGGTAAGAAATAGTAAGACCTGCTAAAGGACTAGAATCAGGAACTAGAAATCCTTAAGGGACCAAGGCAGGTACTCTCTTCCCTCTGAATCTCTGATCTCTTTCTAGCTCTCTCTGAGGTCATACAGTCTCTGTATCACTGTTTTTCTCTTTATATCTTGTGGTAGGCTGAATAATGGCCCCCAAAGATATTCAGGTCTTAATTCCTGAAACCTGTGAATGTAACATACAAAGTATATTACAGCAAAGGAATTTTGCATATGTGATTAAATTAAAGATCTTGAGATAGGGAGATTATCCTGGATTATCCAGGTGGGTCCTAATTCTAATCACAAGTGTCATTATATGATAGAGGTAGAGGGAGATTTTACCACACAAGAGAAGGTAATGTGATGATGGAAGCAGAGAGAAATTTGAAAATGCTATGCTGCTAGCTTTGAAAATAAAGGAAGGGCACAAAAACCAAGGAACACACCTCTAAAAGCTGGAAAAGGCAAAGAATACAAACAACTATGAACAGAGTTCAGTTCCCCAAAGCTGTAAAACCAATGTCCTTTATTCTTGCTGGCTATAAGTCAAGGGCATTCCCAGTTCCTAGAAGGTGCTGCAGTCCTTGGCCCATTGCCCCTCTTTCTCTACCTTCAAAGCCAACAACAGTGGGGCAAGTTTGTCTCATGCTTCAAATCTCTTCTCTTTCCATCTCCTCTCTGATTCAGCTGTGAAAAATTCTTCCCTTTTAAGGACTCATTTGATTGGATTGGGCTCGCCTAAATTATTCAGGATAATATCACACCAACTCAAAGTCCATATCCTGAATTACATTTGCAAAGTCCCTTTTGCCAAATAAATACCCTCAAATTCTGGAGATTAGTGTGTTGACATCTTTAGGTGTCATTTTTCTGCTTACCAAAATTATATTGTTAGTGTTAATAATCTAAGAAAGTAAAAATAAAGAACAAGACACAGTATGGCTTTTTAAAGCCAATATGAAATCGTAAATTCTCTCTATTATTACTTGCAACCAGAAGAATTCACAAGCCCCAAAATATGAAGGACTAGTGAAATGCAGCAAAATATCTGAGAAACATATTTTAATTAGCTATGTTTGTTTTTACTTAAATAATTGTTAGGAAAAGATGAATATAGTTGCTCCTTAGTACTGTTTAGTTTCTTGAGTAACATGGTCTGAATGACCATGTTACTCAAAAGCCCCATTCTGATACCATTAACATAGAAAGAAAATCCTGAACAAATAAGATAATTTAAGCATGATTTTGGTACCCAAGTAAAGCTGGTCCAAGGTGGGCCAGTCTTGAAACTGAAAATACAAAAGGCTTCATAAACTCTAAAAAGTAATTTTTAAAAAAATTTAAATTTACTTTGATGTTGTTATATTTAAAAATAATTGAAATAATTTAAAAACTTAAATTTACTTTGAAAGTGATTATTATTATTCTTATGATCAACATTGTTATAATAGTAGATAATAATATTTGTTTCTAAGTTGATTCTAATTAGTTGAGTTTCTTGGAATATAGAAACTACCTGTCCTACATTTTAGGACAGTTGAAAAATTTTTACTTTTTATTTACTCAACTATGACTAAGTGCTTCAAAGTATTGTTTTTCAGTATGAGAGATGTGGAGGAAGCAGACTAAAATTACTTGCAGAAATTTTAAACAATATCCACCTGCTAAATAAATTATATCCCTCTAACTATGAGTAAAGGGCATTCTAAACAGAGAAACACAGTTTTACATCATTACATAAATTCATTGAATTCATTGATCCTTTCATTTATGAGCTAATTCTCAGATATTCCTTCCCTAGCTAAGTTGTAATAGATTATTCAGTAAGAACAATTATGAATATATGCCTCAATTACATCACAAGAATTCTCAAGGACTGCAGTGAAATATATCAAATTATTTATTTTTAGTGTGTCAGGAGTTTAGCTAAGCTACTTCACAGTATTGTTGCCTTGACATCCATTTTATTTGGCCAAGTAGCATGTAGGGGGCCTTAAAATGATAGCAGCCCTTCATGCAAGCATATGTGCTAGATAGCAGCCTACAGAGTCACAAGCAAAAAAGTCCCTGATATGACTTCCTCAACAACTTTCGTGTTCAGCAGTCTCCCCCACCTCACAATGCCTTTCCCTATGTACCTCTTACATAGGGCCCCCATGCAAATTACCAAAACCTTCACTCTTTTGTTTTGTATTGGCCAATTTAGATTCAGCCCAGGAACCCCAAAACACTCCACCAACAGACACTAATTAAGGCATGTGCCCCAGGTCCTGCCTCTATCTGCATCTACCTTGACCTTCCCATGTGGCCCCTCAAGGTATGCCAGGTACTTCCTCCAGGACTTCTGAGTTATAAACTTCTCTGTTTCAGTTTCTTTTGTGGTCTGTTGAACCATGGCTCACCATTCAGCACCTGTTCTCCACTTAATAAATGTTAAGTAGTTAATTCATAACAGGGTGGTACAACTATATATGAGTATTTGCTTCATTTTAAAATGTATTAAAAATTGTTTTTGTGTGTTTGTGTATGTGTATATGAAGTGTATATTTCAGAGGTGTGTATTTCTCTGCAAACTTTAAAAATCCTTTATTAAAAAATAAATCCTGTATCATCTAGGATAGCTAGCCAACATCAAGAATGTCGTTTAAAGTTAAATAGGAATCCAATCCTTAACATGCTTTCTCTTTTTCAGCATTTGACAGCAAATAAGTCCCCATCCTCTTATTTTAAGATAATAATGTTGAAAATGCTAATGTATAAGCTCTTTCTAGTTATGAATTTTTTAGTAATTAATTTTTGACTCAACTTATTTCAGGTTTTTGTCAGGGCTGAGCTGATGGTGTCGGCTATGCCAAGTGTCAGCAGTATTGCATATTGAGAAGGGAAGGTTCGATGGTGAGACACCCAGTTGGAAGAATAGGCAGACATGAGAATGAAATGGCAGGCACCAACTTTATTGTGCAGAGCACACTTCTGTTGGGAAGTGCAGTTCTATTGGGGGGAGCACAGTATTACACGCACTTCTTCTGCTCCCTTTTCTTGTGCTCCCCCTTCTGCTTTCCAGGGGACCGTATAGCTCTTCACATAGCAGAGTACAATAGTGGCCTTCAGTCACACATGCATGATACAATAAGCTGAAGTATGTTTACATATTTTCTAAATCTGGGGTCCTATTCCTAGCTGTGGGCCTGGATCACAGCCAGACCTTGGACCAGCCAGATCTTGGGGCAGTCAGGCCTGGATCAGCCAGGCCTTGGATAACAGCCAGACCTTGAATTACAGCCAGACCTTGGGCCAGCCAGGCCTGGTGCCCACAGTTTTTAAACTATTCCAAGTTCATATCTTGAAAAGAAGTGGCTGTCATATAACCAACCATACAATCAAAGTAAAAGAGAGGAGCTTGAAATAACATGTTAAATAAGAGAATGAATATATATGGCCAATAAATAAAACATCAAGTTATTCTATTTATATTAGTCTCTTCATGTGCAGAAATATATGTATATGTTCTCCTGACTAATTCAGAGTCATCACTTGACTTCAGAAAACTATATTAAAAATGAATGTGTCATTTTTCATGTCTCATTCGATTTATGTAGCAGGAGGTATGACTGGGCTAGACAAGGTTATACTCTGGATGCATTCTGGAAATTTGTTTCACCCAATTAGTAAATTTATCCCACTAAATTCAAGAAAGAGTTGATTCTGCTATGGAGATAAAATAATAAAAAGACTTTTAATATTGAAATATTCACTTTAATGTCTAGAATCATTACTTTTAAGAACTTCTTAAAAACTTAAACTTGGGTCACTTATGTTTGAAAATTAGAACTGT